CAAACTGAACTCGAGGAATGAAATCACTAACTGACAGTTGAGGGACGCTCCTTGTCTGATCTAGAGACGTTGATTACCGTCCTCAGATTCTAGACTGTGATCAGCTCCCCTTCCGAGAACCTCGTCAGTCTGGTCACCCACTTTGTCCGCACGTTATCCACATTCCGTACTTCACTACTACTGTCAGTCTTGATTGTTCCACCTACTTATTCATTGATCGAGCTAATAGATAACTGAAAAACAACAGTCAAAACCCGAGCACGAAATGTGTACGAATCGGAGCAGACACATTGTCGGGTTCCTCCATGTGAACAGTTAATCTTTGTTAAAATAGAGTTCACCATATTACAAAACGCTTAGTAGAAAATTGTTCTTGGAAATCAGATTTACCGCTATCAATAACCTTAACGAGTATGTTCTACACTGTTCCGACGGATGATTCCATTTCATAATCCGTGTTTTCTGCTCCAACTAATTAACATTGTGAGTTGTATACGATTCTTTCTAATACCGCCCGAAAAAACGCACATAATAAAATTAATTAATACACTTCATTTTCATCCTCAGACTTTTGCCGACGAGTGCAACATGCTGTTTCTCGAGACTAGTGCCAAAGAAGCCACCAATGTAGAAAATGCCTTCGTGAAAATGGCAGAACAAATATCCGCCAGCGCAGCATCCATGCAAGGCCTGCATTCTGCGACGGTGACCGTGAACAGCACACAACCGGTGAAGCCTAGTGGCGGATGTTGTTAATCTCCTGGACGTCCGGTTTCGTCATCCTGATGTCGTCTGCACTACCCATCCCAGCTGGACACGCACAACCGTTCTCATACTGTAACCGACGGCCAGGTCTTATCTGTTTGTGCGTATCATGGCTTCACTGGGTTTCGCATCACATCTCTTCATTATTGGACTTGTGATATTATTTTCTACTGGAAGCGTTGTCGCTCCATCCAGACCATCGCATTGGCGTTTTCTTATGCTGTCTCAATTCACCTTGTCAGTCAACTCATTCACCTAGGTTTGTGGTCGATCGGTCGATTGGTCGATCGCACTGTCTCGGGCTATCCACTGTTTTCCGTCTGTTCCCACCTTCCCCGTTCAACCTGGTTACCCTGGAATTAGCCGGCCAAGCCCCGGCTGTTGCGCTTTCCCATCCTATGTCGAACTGGAATAACTTTCCCACTGCTGTTAATTTTGCCTTATTCAGATCAAGTCTGCGCATTCACACGTACGCATACACTCCACAAAAGCGCACGCATTACACTATACAGTCCACGAAAAGATGAGTGGGATGCGCTTCGGAGCTGATTTGTGACGTGTTTGTGGCCTCCATCAACTTATCTTCCCTCATCTCCAGTCAGAACGCTACTTGTATCATATTTGTCCGCTTTTTCTCCGAATTGTTGATGGACCGCTTGTGATTATTCACTATCAATACNATCTTCGTTCCCTTTTCGCAATTTTCTGTCAAAATGTATGAACTCTTCGTTTATTATGTATGGAGCATATTACTCTGAGCTATGTCGAAAGGGTACTGCAAAAAGTAGACTTTCTAGTTCCGCTCACATGTGATTTCAACAAAAGCACTGAACAGCTCTTTCATCCTTGTTGGGGCTCATGGGCAGTGTGAACTATCCCCATTGAGAATCTAATCGTAAACCTCTAAGTTTGGAGCTCAAACCGTTTCCCTTCAGCTGCACGGTCGACCACCAATACTTGTGCGCATTTTCGACGGGTTGAGAACGATTTTGTTTTAATTCGATGCTTATTCGCGGCCACAGTGCTTGTGTTTTACTGTTCGGGTTTCACTCATTGAGTGTCCTTCCGATCTCCCCCATTGATTAATTTTCCAATGTTGTTTGTAACTAATGACCAGCTATAGTTTTCGCGGACCCGGTCATAGTAGGGACAAGGGTGTTACGCACTGCTGATGTATTCCAACAAGGATGAAACAGCTGTCCAGTGCTCCTTGTTGTCCTCCGAGTAGGAGCTGAAATATGAACCGAAGTGTCTGCGAGGGTGGAGTGCTATATGAACTCTTGAACGACGAGACACACCAGATCAACAATGCACTACGAATTGGTATCGAATCAAAACCAAATCTTACTCATAATAGGACGTTTACCAAGTGCACTGGCGCTAAACAAAGTCTAATCGATGTACTTCATGAAAGAAAGTGAAGATGCACGTGATTGAACATATTTTAGCTCTGTTTTTGTCTGGAACATTCAATCGAAACGAAAAAGCGATTACGTGAGTTATCACATTATACTTATTCTGAGTGATCAATTTGTTTTTTATTGTTCCGGCTTAGTGTGGTTCATTTAACCTGCGGCGCTCAGTTGGCTTCTGATTTGTAAGAATATAATTTCTGGTCATGCCCAGCTGTCTTAGTGTTGACAAGCATTATTGTGTTTTCCTAAACTAACAATTACGGCGTTACGAAGCACTCAACGGCAATTTCAGTTCCATTAATACACCATCGTTTGTTAGCGCGCATATGCAATTCGTAGCCGTGCGCTGTCCATTTTCCATCTGAGTACTTACTTCACGATGTTTTTTATTCACGACACGTGGTTGACACGAGTCTTTTGAAATAAACGCGGTCGCTTAACTTAGATTGTTATGTTGATCAGTGCCCGACTCTCTCCAAATACCGACTTATTGTCAGTGTTAGTGCGTATAATTTCAATCAGCACACGTCGATGCAATTCCCCCGACAGTTTAATATGAAATCTCAGTTCTGATCAATGGGCGGCGGTGGCCAAATGGTTAGGTCACCAACTTATGACCCCGGTTCGAACCGCTCCATCATCACCCATCTTCCCAGGCAGTCTTTGTATGGCAGCAGCCCCCTTCCTGAATGTTGACTGTACATTTGTATATTCAATAAATAAAAAACGAAGTAAAAGTCATTTGTTTTATTATTAATGTATACTAGCCATTAAACAGTTACTAAGCAACATCCTCATCACTTCAATTTTCATGCGACGAATTGTTCTAAACTACATCCACTATTTGCTAATTTGTCTGAACTGGTGAGACCCAAATTTTTCACACTCTTTGGTGTCACTCCCAATGAATGCAACGTATTTTGTTTTATGAGTTGAGGTCCTTGTTTTATCACTTTCTCGGTTCGTTTTGTTTACAGAAAACAGCCAGAGTGCTTCGCCCGGTGTGTGTTGGGCAGTCTACTCAGGCTTCCGGTGCTTGATTACCCCTATCAACTTGCGTTTTCGCTCATTGCCTGGTATTAACACAGCCCTCCATGTTCAAGAAATCATTGCTGCGGTTACTCACTACGATGAGGAAACCAAGCAAGATGCTTTTGATCAAGCCTTCCCAAGCAAATTACAATGCACCCGTCAGCTCGGTGGAATTTTACCGCAGGCCGTTGCCCCGACATTGCATTGCTTTTTCTTCTCCTGAAGGCAAAGCTCTTTTTCGCGAATCTTTACTCACAGGGCATATGGAAGCTTATTTTGCGTTAGCTGCACAACTGTGCACACAGGTATGAATACTTTCCCGTTTTTCCCTACTTCGCTAAAATCCAACAGTAACTGAACGCAACATTCGTGCATATAGTGCTCAATTTTTGGCCTCATCACATGTTTAAGTTGATTTGGCTCCTCGATTACCCCGATTTACTTTTACCGGAGTGTCCAAAGCCCTCATTTGCAACGAAACCCCTCTTTCTGACTGGTCTTTCAATTTTATCTAGTGCACTCGTGAAGTGGTGCTAGAAGAACAAAGGCAATGTGAAATATTTTTTATGCTTTGCGCAAGTTTGAACTAAAATCTCGTATTTTCGGTTGATGTTCCCAACCAAGCGAATTTATTTGATTTCAGTATTACTTTCCGGAGTTTGGGATTTGTGGTTAGTTGCACTCGTCGATTAATTTCAGTTTCTTCTTTCGATAACCCTACACTTCTGTCATGCATTGGCGATTGACTTGGAATCCCTCATAATCCTCTGATAAGGGTGAATCAGACTTGCTGTAGCAACCGTATTTTACACCTTGTATGCCTGTAACATGATTACTCGGACTACTCTGACCAATACAACGCCTTTAGTCAGTGTCGGTCTGGTTGTCGCCCTTACTATCGTTCAATGATGGAGCCGTTTACGGACTATCCCATTCTCATTTGAGGAAAGGTTGATTCTCTCGTTCGTATGTGGTCTTTGTGGCATAACATGAGGAGAGCGTCATTAGTATCAAGTTGTATCTAGCTACTTATGCAGCATTTTACTGGGGGTGTTCTTAATCGCTGCACAATCCAAAACCTCTGGGTTTCAGGACTTGACTAAGGCTCATCATATAGTTGATGTTATATTATCAACTAGTTTGGAGTTGTCCCGATTCTAATGCATATGCGCAAATAAGTAGAAAAAAATGATGTCTCTGGAGCTTTTAGTTTTTTTTGTTATAAATCATTTCATCTCTTTTCGCTGAGCTTGCTTAACAACGCAGCGCGAATGGTATCATCAAGTGTAAAGTCTTCGATGTGTGACACAACCCTCTGGAGGTCGCTGAGACTGCGTAGGCCTTTTTATTATTAGCAATTTTTCAGAGCACTCGCCTTTGATCTATGGTATATGGTGATTTATGAATAGTAAAGCTCTTTCGACTTCAACTCCTGCTTCGGCTGTTTTCTTGCTTTCTATTGTTCCACTTGAAGCATTTCCCACCCACTAACCACGCTCTCACTGAGAAAGTAAGCTATCGTGCAGCACTGTTTCACACTGACCTTTTTTGCGTGAAAGAACTCCCTAAACTGGTTCATATGTAAATGTTCATGTTGCGTTTCGGAAACGTTGCTGATTACATTGGTTCTTTTTAATCGAAATACCGCATATACGATGGCTTTGTTTAATTGGTTAGGCGGAGCCTGCTTATTGCGGTCTGGCCACACTGGTTATGGTTTTAAATGCACTTGAAATGGACCCTGGACGAGTTTGGAAAGGCCCCTGGCGTTGGTATCACGAAACTATGCTGACCTGTTGTGTGGATTCCAGCGTTTTGACCGAAGGCATTGTGATGGACAAGTTCGTCGAAGTTGCTCGTTGTAATGGGTTAAATGTAAGTGCCTACCAATCAGGTCTTCGCTCAAATATCGCGACTGTTTCACTGCACAGCTATTCTCCCTAAGTTCCTTCACGTTTTTTTAGCATTTTAATTCCTTTTTCGATTTCATGCAACTACTAACTCGCTACATCTCACCTAAACCTCAAGCATCGTCAACATGTCCTCAATGCGAGTTGTGTACGAAAGCTCCTCAAATGTGTGGTGATAATTTGGAGTTGTAATTTACTAATAATCCATTGAACCATTTAGTATGTTGAATACTGTTCCAAAGACACGTCTTACAAAACAGGTCATGAAAATGTTTCATCTCTGATTTGTAGCCAAGGTGCCCAGTTCGTCCTAGAATAGTTCTGAAATGAGTCAGTGATCGTTTTTGTTGAAGTTTTTACTACTCGCAGTTTTAGTTATCTCCAATCAGTGGACATGAAATAAAGATATTAAACTGATCAAAGGCAATAGTTTCATGCCGTGAGTCGACGACCAGTGGATTGAATTAGACCTGACTACATACCTTGACCTTTGCCTTGATTTGATGACACGAGATCACATGCAACGTCGGTCATTGAAACCGTCTATACGGTGGTGTAGCGTAGTATGTAAAGGTCATTTGTCTACTTTTTGAGCACCCATATATAATATTTATAACTGGCATACGACTAGAATGTATTAAGAAAAAATTACAAACACGTTTATGATGAAAATCAGTCTATGATTAGTGACTGCACTACGACTAGGTTACTCGAACTGGAGGAAGTCATTGGGAATCCACAATCATGCAGCAAACCAGTGAGACAATGTACAACTAGCTCATCCCATAGGATTTAACATCAGCGTTCGAAAATTCGGAGTGCTTATTATACACTGTCATTCAATCGAGTCAAGATCGTACGCCTCCTTGAGAGGTTCGAAATCACTTTCAGCTCCCTTAGATAAACCTTTTACTCGCGGTTCGCCAATCTGACTATAACCCCCAACACTAGCACATCGTCCTCTCGTTTCAGTGAAACCGCTTCAATGGAAAGAAAGTCAGTAGGGCCTCTCTAGCTGGTGGTTTGAGATTATTGACATTTGCGCGAATGTTTTGAACGTGGGCGAGACCTCATTTCCCGAGCACCTGGTTAAATTTTCGCATGGAAGCTGCTATTGGCCTAAGAGTGGAATTCGGGTCCTTCGGATGGTAGTATCAAATGAATCGGGTGGATCAGTCAACATTCTTCGCTGTAAATCGGATTTGTCTAACAAAATCCGCTTTTGTTCAGTCGCCCAAGGATCACGGTGGTTAGGAGAGGGCTGTGGGGTCACTGGTGCGACGTGTTTCACAACACTGCAATCAGGTTGTGATGCGTTATCCGTGCGATCGATCTTGGGTTAAAGCAGTCGAATGGTATGGATCGATCTCTTTCGTGCACATAGGTTGGCTGTGAAGAAACGAAGACCGATCGCTTTCGCAGTGGTTAGGGTGTGAATATGCAACGATTTTGGTGCATGAGGTGGTAGTCGATAGCTAACTGTGAAGGCTGATTTAAGTTCCACTTGGTGACTTGAGTCTGTTAGGTGAGCGAGAATAATTCTTCGTGTGATGAATTATCCGCCTTTTAGAAGTCTGCGTGGACAGTGCTGTTAACTCCAGTGGGACAGTTCCCTCTTTTGGCCAATGTAGGTTGCGATTCAGGCACAGCGGAAGGAATAAAAAGCCATAAATGAGACCGGCGCAGGGAAACTCTTGGATGTTATCCTTATTGGTGAGCCTGTGAATGCACATGACAAACTGTCTGTATTATAGGTTTCTCTCACCCAAACATTTTCTGATAACATAAGATAGATTCTCCTTTGGATGACAGTTTAATAAACACCTTTTCCTCCAGAGCTCCCTGAAAAGGCTCGTGTTTTGGTCTTTGTTCTAGGTTTCCTTCGACAAAGATATCCTTTTTCTCTGAGTATGTTTTTGATCTGACCGAGTTCATCTACGAACGTGGATTCGGAGCATATCTTTCGCGCCCGCGAGATGAATCACTAAATAAGTTCTCTCTTTTGTCTGAGTGGCACGAAGCTATGAACGTCGTTGCACTGTCCGGTCCACGTTTCTTTTCCGTATACCCTTCTTTCAAGCAGTCCGTCAGTTGTCTTGCGTACAATAACTTCACGGAATGCAAGTTTATTACTTGTTATCATTACTCTTGGCGTGGTTACTTCAGATCATATTCATTTAGGAGCCCTCACCTACTCTACATTCAACTAATCTGTCTCTCACCTACTGTTCATCAAGATAGGTATCCAAAAGATAGCAAACCGGCGCACGGAGGTGCTTGGTTAACAGCTGTTCAAACAACTCACTTTCAATTTCTAAGAATGGTGGATCCGTATTGCTAACAGTTTCTTCTTTGAATTGTATGAATTACTCACTAGCATCGCATTCATACTAGTTATTATGTGACAGTTTCCGAAGAATCACCATATCCAGTGTTGAGTTAAGACCAACATGCTTCATGCATCCCAGATGGTAGATACCAACTGACGTGTTTTGATGACTTGCGTGCCTCCATGACCCTGCAAGCTACACAGGGTGGCTTTTCACAGCCTTATATCCAATAATGCCTGAAAGGTCAACGGGTGTCTACCCAGACAAAGCTCAGTCTCACAAAGCCAGCTGCTTCAGCACTTCCTATCCCCACCCGCCCCTGGAGAGATCACACCGGTAAATAAACACGGTGAGGGACAGTTTATCAGTCAAAAGCCTCCGTTAGATGGACGTAGGAGCAGGGTACCTGTGGATTCATCTCGACGATGGGAGAAGTCTTCGCTTTTTACGGGACAGCTACCGCCCGGCCAAGCTGGGCAGCCTCCAGCCGATAAGGTGTTGTCCCGTCCACGTTCCGCCTGTCTCATTGGGTGCCTGAGGCTAAGAGCCGATCCTGAAAAACGGACCGATAATCAACGCANNNACGCACCAGCGAACAACACACTTATTGTATTGTATTGAAATCCTTGCGTGAGGGGTCTCTAGAAGCTCCCACACGGGTGTTTCGTCCACACCCCTGTTGGATTTACGCCCCACTGCCTTGTGGGTCAGACTTTTGANGACTTTTGAGCTGAAGATTCCGGTTAGGGTTCCCAGATAAGAACCCCTTCGTCGGTGTGAGCAACCGCGAAGTAAAAGGTGCCCTAAAGTCTTAAACACCCATTTGGACAAACCTCTTGAATCTATCTAGGTCTTTCTTTCAATTTCGAGTAATCCCAGACGCCTGTTTACGCCACCCATCGAATATCACTCAGCGTTTGACAAGCAAGGTTGGACACTCAGAAGTTTTAGGATTTTTAAAGCCAAAATTTCCTTTTCACTCAGCCGCGTTCAACGTCCGCACACAACAAGCTGCCTTGGCTAGACCTCTTGAAACTTTCAATTTCGATGTATGCCGTGCAGTTCTTACCACTCGTTACGCATCCCTATCCCCGTAATCCGTTTTTCATTTCATTCGTATACTTGTCTGTTCCCAGGAAGTGTATTTCCGTCGCATTAACCTTATTTGCAATACCGGGTAAATTATTTTGAACAGCTTTTCCAGATCAAGTTCATTGATGAATCATTATTGTGATTTGATGTTTGTGGTTGCGTAAAATGTTACCAACCGCCAGAAACGTGACCTAAGCTTCGTGATAGAATCTTTCCACCTCAAATAACATGCGTATGAATGACTAGTGACTTGGAATATGCTGACGACATAGTTTGACTCTGCGACTCCTCCCAGGACGCTCCAAACGTCCTGTGTAAGTTAGCATTGTCTGTCACGCAGTTTGATATGGCATTTTCTCCAACGAAATTTAAGGTTTTACCACAAGACTGGCAATAAGCTACACCTGTCCTCACACTTATGAACGACCAGTTGGAAATCGTCGATCACTTTACTTATCTCAGGAGTTGTTTCAGCTCAAGAGGACTGACGGAAGAAATATCAGTGTGTATCAGCAAGGCTCCAGTAGCTTTCGCTAACCTACGTCACTTGCATCGGCGACGCGATCTCAGTCTCTCCTTGAAAGTCCGCTTTTTCAATGCAACAGTACGCTCTGTCCTACTCTACGGCTGTGAGAGTTCATCCAGATACTGCTTATTATGAAGTATTCTATAAGTACACTCAAGTCACTTTTGTTGCGGCTGTAGATTGGACTGATAGAGGAATTAGACAATTTTTGCTATCTGAGCAGCTGTATCACACTAGACGGATGCTTCACCGATCAAGTGTCAGCACGCGTGCAGAAGTTTCGGTTGGCGTTTACCAGTTTGAAACCTCAGTGGCAGCGTCGTGACGTTGGGTTGTCTGTGAAGGGTTGAGTGGGTGCTGCAGCAGTTCAACTAGTGCTGTTCTACGGTGCAGAGACTTGACGATTACGGGAACGGGAGAAAATTAGATTGTCGATGTTCGAACACCGCTGTCTACGTCGCATTGCACGAGTCAGGTGGGGAAACTGGACGAGCAATATTGGGCGTATAGTTTCAGGTAATAGGATCACTGTCCCCGGTTTTAGCAGATCCAATCAGGTGGCATAAACGTCGATGGGTGTATTTAGTGGATTACTACGGACCGACAGTTTTCTTTAACTTTCTCCCCATTGTACTGTCTCCGAATTTCTACAGATGGGCTTGTTAGCCGCCACTACTTTCAGTGAAATGTTACCGATTCTTCATACGTCACATTACCACGACTGTTAAAACCATATACCTGAATTTGATTTTTCCGCATAAAATGCAAATAATTGAATAACGCAGCGGAAATGTGTTGAACATCCCAAAATGTTCATTTTCCAACTATGATGTACTAATCACTATATTGTCTCATTTTAGCCCCTCAGCTAATGTTTGTTTCATGAATTTTTTTCTACGGGTTGAAAACGGTAACGCGACTCGAATCCCATGCGTTTGTAGTCCTCTCCGCACATTTTGTCTACCTCATCTATCTCGTTTTCGACGCATGTGATTCTGAACACCAGTATATTTCTTAGGTAGAGATGCATCGGGTCTATCCATCGAGTTCTATGACTGAATTTCGCGACCTTGTGATTCGAATGGTATCAAACGATCAATGTGGATTTCTGGTTTCGTGTTATGATCGTGGTGCGTTAGGCCAAACGGGCACCGGACATTTTGCTGCCATCGGAGGGTATCATCCTGAACGTGAACTCGTCTTCTTGTTTGACACGGCTCGTTTCAAATACCCATCTCATTGGGTTCCTTTATCACGCCTTTGGGAAGGCATGAGTCATGTGGATCCGGCGACCCAACAGCCAAGGGGTTATTTGATTCTTACCAGGGCCACTGCTGTGCAGATGAGACCTGAAGAAATCAAGTGTTCTTCATTAACAGAGGACTCTCCTTCTTGTCCATTCGGCGAAACAAAGCTCTTGCTGTTCGACATTTCACACAACGCTTGGCAAGTAAGGTTTCTCTAAGTGCTTGATAATTTTCTGTTCGTTGGTGCAGTTCCCAAAGTTTAGTGTTTGGTTTATTGTGATTTCTATATTTTTCATAATTTTGACGCTTAGTTACGTTATTACTACTGGGAACTTGAATCCCGAATAGGTGATCCAGTTGTCTAGAACAGGAGAATGTTGACGAGTGTTTGGGTTACAGTGTAACAACATATGCTTAGGTTGCAGTCATAATACTTATTCGTCTAATTGGTGAACAGTAACGTGAGAAATGAATCAGTTGACTGAGGACGAAGTGAGAATAGTGATGGTCTGCATTTTTGTAATATAGAACATCTTTATCGTTGGTTATCTTGAGTTTTGGCGGACCTTCGTATGAGGCGTTAGACGACGAAAATTGACACTTATCAGTGTAAATAATGACTCCCTAATTATTTAAATATGTAAAACATCATTTTCCCTTTATCCACTTCATCAACATCAGAAGACATATATGGGCAGAATTCATATTGGCCATCAATTTCGGGTGCTCTCATTCAGCTGTAAATGCACATTTATATGATCATGTGAAACGAAGATGCATAGGAGTTGAAATGAGTCATTTGAACAAAGTGTTGGACAAGTGAGTCGAGTGATTTGTGTTTGGTTAAGGGTCGAGGTCAAGTAAAATGAGAAAATTTGATTCGAAGTTCACGGACTTTGCGATTCTTAGAAGCGATAATTATTCATCGCTTGAAACCGCAATTATGTGTTAAAAAACATTTGTGACGCAACTGTTTTTGCCATGGTAGTGATGATATCACACTTGATACCACCCTACCATAGCATGACGTGGCATGACCTTCCCCCCTCCCTAGTTCACCACATTCACCAAATCGTTTGGTCCAGTTCACCCCATATCAAAAATTCCCTAATTATTGTTTTATTATTTTCTTAATGTATGCTGTCACAGTCCATTTTCATTGAGGCTGTTTGGGGAAATATAGAAGCGGTTACGATGAGCAGTAGCGACGGAATTCGAACTCAACCACTGACATCACCGCTCTAATTTTGAATACATACGTGCAAAATGCGCTTTTCCTTCAAATCAGTTTGTATCCATCCACCCAATGATACAATACTCATGTTTACTTTGAGGATTTATCAGTATCTGCATTGGGTCCGTATTATCTGGCATTACATTCTAGGGCTTCTTTGCGAATGTTAGTGATTTTGAATTACTGGGTCGCTGCTATGATCAATGAACGGACCCAGTAAATTCAGTAATAAACAATATTAAAGGTTAAACCGATTTCATGCAACTTGAATCGAATTTCGATCATGGCATGTAGTAGTTATTGCCTTGAAAACCCACAAAGCAGTGTTCAGTGAGAACGTTTGGTTGATCCTCTGGATGTTCTGAGTCCGCGAGCNTAGTCTAAGATTGTAGATTGTACGTGTTAAACTTCCTGTCTAATCGTTTTATTGGACGCCTTTATATGGGATGTGCTTTTCATATTGTACCAATTAATTCATCCATATGTGATTACTGTTCTCGTGAGTTCACTTTCTATGCTGTAACGCCTGATAATTTTTGGTTGCGGACAACTTACTGTATTTATCTGATAACTCGGATAAATTGCTTTTTCTTAGGCATACATGTCTCCGGCTGCTCTCAGTGATCCTCGCAGCGTGGGCTATCGTCTGCGTCAAGTTTCTGAAGCGTGGTTAAAGTGGCTACGGTCTCCAGTCCCCGTTAGTAACCCATTTGATGGTGACAAGCTGATTGCGGATGCCGCTCAGTTTCTCTTGGAGACATGTTTCAAGTTCAGCCCCGGAAGTTTTTTCCTTACGATACAACCACACGGCGAATCATCGATGTCCTCAGAACCAACTGAACATCAGCTGTTGCAAGACATTCTTTCCTCCCACGTGGGTCGTATCGTAGGTCAGGTCGTTTCAGAACTTCCCGAAAATCTTCTGAATTCTCTTACTGGCGATAGTGGTACATTCCGTCTAGCTATTGGTCGAGGCTTCGGTACAGGGTCTCCTTCAGCATCAAGTGTGAATACCAGATGCCCTTTCGATGAACTAAAAGATGATGCTCTTCGTCTGACGGTATTTCTCACCTCTTTTATAATCTTTTCACCACGCTGTGGCTGTACTGTTTCACCACCTCAGTCATCTACAAAATTTACAACGCGCCAACAATCTTTTCTGCATTTGATCGGTCAGATGAAACTATCTAGTCTTGTCTGCTCAGAGTTTAGTAATTTGCAAACTTTATTTTGTTTTTTGCTGCGGTCCGCTTTGTCGTTGGACAGTAAGGCCGTGTCCAGTTGCCGCCAGTGGGACTCCCACCCATGCAAAATGTCGTGATTATGTTGATTCAAGATTCTGTTGGTGAAGACATGACATGTACTGTAATTTTTCGACAGATGAAATATTTTGATCTCAAGAACTAGTACTTGTTCACTTTTCTCCCCCTTTCCTTTGTGCTGCAATTCGCTTTTATTCCAATCAATTCAGGGAATTTATTTTACTGCACTTGGATATTTGCGAATGAAAATGGTTGGCAATTTCGTTCTTTGTATGTCTATATCCGTACGCTTTGGCGTTGTTCATTTTTCATTACACCGAATGGTCCTCGGCATCTAACGCCATACAATCAATTCAGCCGATGTAAGGTCCTACTTTTACTTTCTGTAAACTATCGACTCTTTGAAATTGTTGGATTTTCCTTAGTTCAGCTCGTTAGGGATGGTGTGTGCGGTTTGTAAGCGCATTAGTCAGTGGCGCATGTTTTAGACAGGTTCATCGGGGCGTTCGAGTTGCAAGCATCTCCACGCGACGAGGAACCTCAATTCTTCCTACGTGTTTTCACCAGACAAAAGATATTTCAAAGAAATCGGTAGTCGAATACAGAATCTCAATCAAGAACTGTTCCCTGGGAAGAGCTCAACTCTAATATTTGCTAGACCAAACATTATTCTGTAGAACATCATCCAACTAAAAGCTTGAAAGTAATGGGAATATGAGGTAACCTTTTCGCACTGCCCTGGGGAAGGCAAAGAATGACGGAAGCCATGGGTCCTAATTTGAGGTAGAGTATGATAATGCAACTCTTTGAGAATGGATGCATTCTTCTCAGATACCCCGTTTTCAACAAAAATTTCCGTACTGCAGTCCTAACGATGACGTTAGATTGTGCTAGTACTGTTTCGTACTAGTTAGCCATCAGCGATGGACGGGTTCTAGGGTATCAATTTCAGATCGGAAGGCTTCACTGGTTGGGACACATTGTGCATATCTAATAGTCGTCTACTAAATTGCAACTTATTTACTGTAGTCGCTCCTAGCTGGTGGAAACTACATGGAACCCGACCGATGACGTGAAGGCGAAGCATGAACTATTAGGCAGTGTGAGTGACTCATCCTCCAGGTTGGGTTATAAGAGACTGCAAATGGTTAGTTGGGGATTGAGGCAGGTAGTGGGTGGAAGAAAGTCAAGGGTGGCCAAGCTAGGATCTGGCATGAAGATATAAGAAACCTAACCAAGAGTCTGGGTCCCGTAGGTCCCGTTAGGCACCCTGGATAGGGACCTCGGGATGATCATGCCCGATGGATAGAGTCACTGAGTGATATGGCTGAATGTCGTGAACAGCGGCGTCCGTGCATCTTGTCAATTTCTCTGCAAAATTAGTGCAATGAAATTCTAAATTTTCTCTTTGATCCTACTTTCAACCTTTCCTGTCTTTCTCATGTTCATCCAAATGGGCAGCCAAGAAACAACAACCAAAACCGGCTCACGATCGTGCATGGCTAATGGTTGTACAAATTGAAACAAAGTATCGAAAACACTGGCGTTTTTGTCCCTTCTTATCTGCACAGGATGTTTGAAAAAGCTATATGTGCACAGTCCTATTGCGTGCTCTGTCCGTCAACCATAGAGGTTCACTTTCTTGCCCCTCTGAAAGTAGGCTCAATCTGTCTTACATATTCTCACTTTGGCAGCGATCAGCGAAGTTCGCTTCGCTGTATCTTGCTGTACGCTGAGGACCAGAACGTTGAGCTAACGGCCCTTTTCTGAGCAAGATAAATCTAGTTCGGAAATTTCTCCCAGATGCACCTCGCTGGAATACAGTTGACACACTCGAGCACTCATGTTCTGTTAAACTCACGGTATGGGTCAGACTCACTTTAAGTAAGGTATAGTGCAGTTTTTGGTAAAGTGTATTTCACTGCATCTTGGGTTGCAATCCGTGGGAGCGTAAGCTGAAACGACAAGAGAGTGTCATTTCCAGCCGGGTGACGGCTGAATATTTTGTATTTGCTTCTGATTCTCACTGCGCACATCTGAATGTCGACTGTCATTCAACCTAGCAATGTAGCTTCTGATTCATCACTGAAAGCCATACCGGAAGCCGCGGCCTTATGGTCATTGTTCTTAAATGAAACTTCGGGGATTGCTTCGGTGAGAACATCGATTAGATGTTAGAGTCTTGGNCACAACACTTGACCTCTCCGAGCACTGAACACTGAGTTTTGCTTTCACGAGAGTTGTTCACAAGTCGTCATTCTTGTTTATCTGAATCTTGGTCACGCGAGGTGGTCCTTTGACTGAGGCTTTGGTCACCTGTAATTCATTGTGACTATCGTCTTCTCTTGGCTTAATAGCACCGTCAGCGTGTAATGTGCTGCTCACTACTTTGGTGAGTTACTGCAATTCGTTCTAATCAAAGTGCCAAATTACCGGCAGCATGCACAATATAGGCCCCTGATGCAAAATAAAAAATGCGACAACATATACATATATATATATATATATATATACTAGTTTTAGCGGTTGCTACACTAGTCTGCGCGATTCTGTTTCTGAATTATTTCACAATTGTGGCACCCTCGGGCTTGCACTGGGATCACCGATCCGCCTTCAAAACTGTTTTGTCGGTTGCTACTCGTTCAGCACAGAGTCGATCCCGTATGCCTATCGGGGTTTCAGCCTCCTTGAAAAAGGTTTGTCCCGTAAATCTCCCATCGGCTCAGGGAGACCGACTTGAGTGCCATTCGAACTGAAGTGCCCAGTTGCTTAGCCCATTACAGTGTTAGTACACAACGAACTACAAAATTCTGTTCGGTGAACTTGGCTCTCACATACAACCCAATGGCTGGCCAGAAACAAATATGGTTAGTGATACACCCAAAGTATTTGCAAAGCCCTGTTCATTTAAATGTGTGCATGACGTTTGGTCTTTGAAGTTAAGCGAAATAAACTCAACTGAAAATTTAAAGTGAGTGAGTAGATGCCATGGGATCATATGAAAAACGAACTTCGTCACTTTTAAGGTTATT